GTAAATGACTGTATAAAACATCTTACCTCGTCCAAACCTAGAAAGGTGCCAAATCCCAAAGCCGGTATAGCGTTACCATCGTTCAATGGGATCCTGAATGCCACACCGCCATCTGTGTCGTCACATAACTGAAACAAAAATTACATTACAAAATAAAAACTGCGTTTAAAAAACTAACTTCAAAAAAGCCGAAACTAAAAACAAATAAAATAAAGCTATAAATACTATTAGTACTAAAACAAACAAACTAAAAAGCTAAAAATACTATTAGTACTAAAAATAACCAATAGACGCATTACTCGCCCATACAATTTTCCAAAATTTCCCTCGGTTTCCTTAAGATTCTACCATCAGATCCTGACCTCATGGAAATGGGACCCTTTCGGGAGTATACAAAAAAACAATCAGCCGAATATAATACCTCCTTTTTTGAAGTTGGTAATAAGAGGTCTCCTTTAGCGTCTATCTCTCTGTATGAACGCGATAAATTCAAAATGTACTGGTTTTATTTGGCTTTTTTTGAGGGGGAAATCAAGCAATGACTTCTCCTGCCTGGGTGAGGCGGGAGGGAGACTCTTACTGACTAAAAATCACTCTTCGAGCCGGAGCCCCGGCAACCCGTTAGGCCTTCCGCGGCTCTGTATCGGGATTATTTATGATGCTTAGATAACAGTTTAAAAACCTTTAAAAAATAGATAGTTTTAAGCAATTTAGAATTATTACTTTAAATAGAAACACAGAAGGCAATGACTCCTTTCTACTTATTATGGAAAAAATCAATTTGCATAGAAATTCAATTCAAGATAAATTTCTTTTAATTTATTTATCTGTATTTTATTATTCTTGGTAATGAACTTGAGCTCGGTATATGTGTTTACCTTCATTCCTAATAGCGTTCCACGCGGCTTAAAGAGCCATCAGACCACCACAGGGCACAGATGGGGCATGGGTTCCAGTAGGGCCGATGCCGGATGCGATGCCGCGGAAGACTTAAAGGGTTGCCAGGGCTCCGGCTCGAATAGAATGCTCGCTCGCTATGTATTATACTTACATAACATCACGCCTTTGATGTAATAGGGGGTACTGAGATTTTTTAAAACCCAATAATACCTACTTTGCCCGATCCGGTATGTACCTATTATATATCCTATGTATAACACTGGGAATATTTATACACTTCTTATTTAAATAAATAATTAAAACTAAAATATTTACACCTTAAAAAAAAATAAACCATAAGGCATCAAAGAAAACATTTTCTTCATCGCTACCGTGAGGTAGGGTGCCCAAAAGACTGGCAGCATTGCCACGTTGAATGGCAATGCTTAACCTTACTTGTATTACTTTTATGGTATTTATATCATATTGTATGTATGCATATTTAGAACAGATATTTATTATACAATTTATTGTATTGGTTTGAGCATTAATCACCACGTTTGCTCAATGCGGGTTAGCGATTTCAAACTTATAATTAGAAATTATAAGCCCAGGTTTCCTCACGATGTTTTCCTTCACCTTTTGTCAGTGGTGTCTAGATAATCTTAGAAAGTACATATAACTCGGAAAAGTCACATTGGTACTTGCCGTTGGTAGGTTTTGAAACCGCCACCCTCATGCCTGAGAAGCGGGCGTCTTAACCTCTGGACCACCACGACGATTTATGATTGTGTCCCTTCAAAAAACGCTTAGTAGCGTACCAGCAGCTGTAGCCAAATACCATTTAGCGCTTGTCTACATGTAGATTGTAGATTGTGTAGATGTGGCTGCCTCATTGGCTGAGTGATCGCAAGTGCGACTGCCGGGCAAGGGGTCTCGGGTTCGGAGTCTGGAAATGTGCCCGGTACATGGCAATATACTCACCCCTATTACAAGGGACTCATAACATAAATAGTGAAAAGTGGGTGTTACATTGTACAGTGGCATTAAGTGCCGTAATGTGCACCTCTGCTTACCCCTTCGGGGATAAAAGGTGTGATGTTATGTCTACATGTAGACAAAACCAAATTATATGGAATGGACGTAAATTTTGACACTTGTCAGTATCATCCCCATACATTTTGATTTCTACTCTCACTGTAGACAAGCGCTAAAGTGGCGTTTGGCTAAAGGCACTGGTAAGTAATGGGCCTGAGGCCTTTTATATGAAACTTCTTGGCCATCATCATACCAGCCACAAGATGTCCATGGCTGAACCTAGGCCTTACCAATGATTTGTTTTTTTAAGTGTGGGAGAGCCATGCTTCGATACGAATGGGCCGGAGTGATACCACGGCCGAGCAGAAAATATATGTGAAACAACGCTTCCGTTGTGTTTCGTCGTGTGAGTGAGGTTACCGGAGGCCCAATTACTTCCCTAATTCCTAACCCCCAAGAGGTCGGTAAGAACGCACTTGTAACGCCTCTGGTGTTCCGAGTGTCCATGGGCGACGCCGATTGCTTACCATCAGGTGATCCGTCTGCACGTTTACCGACTTATTCCATAAAAAGTAATATTTTTATCAACTTACCGAGCCAGTCAGGAATACAAGAAATGTAAGCACACACAACATTATCGATATAAGTACTGAACAAGACTAAACTGTAGTTTTAGCATATTATCTACGTATTAATTCTAATTTATTTAAACTATGAATATTAGAAGCATTTCTTTATCGTACGGTTTTGGGCTCTTTTATACCTGAAAAAAAGGTTTGAATTTAAAATTATATACATGCATAACATCACGCCTTTTATCCTCGAAGGGGTAGGCAGAGGTGCACATTATACCACTGCACAATGTAACACCCACTTTTCACTATTTATGTTATGAGTCCCATGTAAATGTAATAGAGGGTGAGCCTATTGCCATATACCGGGCATAGTTCCAGACTCCGTGCTACTACTGAGAATTTTTTTAAAATCCAGTAATACTTTGACCGACCCGGGAATCGAACCCGAGACCCCTTGCCCGGCAGTCACACTTGCGACCACTCAGCCAACGAGGCAATTTAAAATTACTGCAAATAAATGTATGTATGTATGTATGTACATAATGCAATGACAGTTTTTAATGATAAATAGTTATTTATGTATTGATGTAAAAAAAATTTTTTTAGTATTCTAGAATAAGTAATATAAGTGTCGTGGTGGCCCGGAGGTTAAGACGCCCGCTTCTCATGCATGAGGATGCGGGTTCGAAACCTACCAACGACAAGTACCTACCAATGTGACTTTTTCTCAATTATATGTCCTTTATATGATTATTTAGACACCACTGACAGACGGTGAAGGAAAACATAGTGAGTAAACCTGGGCTTAAAATTTCTAATTATAAGTTTGTAATCACCAACCCGCATTGAGCAAGAGCAGCTTCTCCTTGCGAGAAGAGGCCTTTGGTCCGCCTATCTCAAGGCCCCCAGCTGGAAGCGGCTCCTGTTGTGAAGTTTGTATATGCACCTTTCTCTTTTTTATAGGGAACGGGTGTCCATCCTTACTTCCTTACTAATATTATAAATCGGAAAGTGAGTTTGTTTGTTTGTTTGTTCCGCCTTCACGCCGTAACTACTAGACCGATTGCTTTGAAATTTTGCAGACATAAAGTTAGAAGTCTGCATTAAATAATAGGGTACTTTTTATCCCGGAAAAAATGATATTTTCTAGGAAAAACAAAAATATTGGTATAGATGGCGCTGTGTGTATTGGTATCACATAGGCTACTTTTTATCCTTTTGTGACGCGAGCGAAGCCGCGGGTAAAAGCTAGTTTTAAATAAGTGCCTACGCTCCAAACTAGACTACGGTACTGGACATTCAGTGCATAAATCCAGTGTCTCTGTGTGAACACGATTGTCTGTTATAGGACAATTTATTGTGACTGCTCACGGTTTCGGGGTAGCGGGTTCGATTCCCGGGTCGGGCTAGTAATACTTTTATTACTGGGTTTTTAAATATTTTCATTAGTAGCACGGAGTCTGGAATTGTGCCTGGTATATGCTAATCGCTAATAAATAGGCTCACGCCTTATTCAATATATTATCAAATAGTGAAAAGTGGGTTTTACATTGGACAGTGGCATTAAGTGCCGTAATGTGCACCTCTGCTGAAGGAGTACCTTCGGGGATTAAAGGTGTGATGTTATGTTATTTAATAGTGATAGATGCACGAGGTAAATAAAAATACCTTGAGTAACAAAAAAACTTTTAATTTCATAATTATGATACATACAATTACGTAATTATAATTGTTCCACTTAAAAATAACAATAATACAATCTCACATTTTAAATTTTTGCCAAAAATCGAACACAGTGTGCAACGCTCTCGAAAACCTACGCCATGTGATGGTAAACCACAAGTTTAATTTTTTTTATGGCATAAACCGGTAAACGAGCAGACGGATCACCTAATGTTAAACAATTGTCGTCGCCCATGGACACCTGGAACACCAGAGGCGTTACAAGTGCGTTACCGGCCTTTTGGGGATTAGGAATTTGAGGATTGTTGATGATTCGGGGATTTGGGAGACTGGGGGGTAATTGGGCCTTCGGTAACATCACTCACACGAGGAAACAACGCTGTGGTAGTTTCACTATGGTTTCTGCTCGGCCGTGGTTTCACTCCAGTCAAGCCGGCCCATTCGTGCCGAAGCATGGCTCTCCCACACTTATTTTCACAAAAGTAAGGATTTTAAAGATAAAGATATATTTATTTGTATAAACATGTGTGGGTAACATTATACATATGAATGTTTCTTTTCAATACTATAATATTATAAAGCTAAAGAGTTTGTTTTTTTGTTCGGTTGTTTGAACGCGCTAATCTCCATAACTACAAGTCTGATTTGAATAATTATTTTTGTGTTGGATAGCGCATTTATCGAGGATGGCTATAGGCTATAAAACATCACGCTACGACCAATAGGAGCTGAGCAGAGCGTGTGAAACCGCGCGGAAGTAGTTAGTAAAAATAAAAATTACACAATTTTACACTTAATTTAAAATTACAACAAAATTTCAACAACCTAATCGATATCCAGATTCAATCCATTCTTCCAGATTCTGAGAGATTCTGGAATTTCCATCTTGTCTGGAATCTTCTCGAATGGGTAGTTCTGGTAGTCCTGCCAGAAGAATGGGCGGACTGTCCGGAAGCCATTATCGAATTTGGCGAGAGTTTCCATGTCACCCTTGTCCAATTCGAAGTCGAAAATTGATGCATTCTCTACGACGCGGGATGGAGTCACCGTTTTCGGGATACTGACTATCCCGCGTTGGTACTGGAAAAAATTAATGTGGTTTAGTAATTGTTATTTATGATTTTGTTGGTTTTTTTTGAGGGGGCAAAATCATTCAATTACTTATCCCGCCTTGGTTTAAGCGAGAGGAAGTGTCAGACAGACTCTTACTGACTAAATACCACCCCGTTCCTACTTCTGCTTCGTACCGAAGCCGCGGCAACCCGTTAGGCTTTCCGGGGGTCTGTATCGGGTATCAGCCCTACTGGGCCCAATCTGTGGTGGTCTGATGGCTCACGCGGAACGCTCGGGTCTGGTTCAGGTCGGACGGCGAGCTACCCATGCTCGCCGTCCAAAGACCCGCTCTTACGGTGGTCGGAGATCGTCGCGTGATCCTCGGTGCCAGGATTGTCTCCTGCGACAGCTGGGGCGTGAGGAGATTCGTTACCTCACGCCCTAGTCTCCTCTTTGGCTTGCATATGGCATTGTGGGTTGGGTTGTTCATAGGGTAGGTAGAAGTAACATTATTTTCTACATTACGATAATTTTAAGTTTTCAGTGTTTTCCCACTCTATTCTGTAGCTGTCAAATTCAAACTCTCGAAGTGAGCTAGATCGCATTCACGTCTGGCATAAGCCGTCTGTCATCCGGCCTGCCGGCCCGTTATCGAGATTATTCTCACGACCTATGACATAGCGGACCGCGATCGACCTCGCTTCGATCTTCCGAATTGAAAGATACAGAATAACCTAACTGGATTCATATGTATTTAAAATATCACCCATTTTTTGTCAGTTACAGTTTCTTTTTTATTTAAAAAAAAACTCAAAATTAAAGTTAACAAATATTTGAAAAATTCAATTTCTGTTTATCACACCCATATAATATGACATTCGAGTCTGTCCCTTTTCAAAATACCCATTACCCATTACATAAAATCCAAAAAATACTCACTAAATATCTCAAAGTGACTTGTGTGACAGATTTCCCATACTTCTTTCCGATAGCGACCATAGTGGGGTTGTTGAGCTTCGGTTCGGGGGAGTTGGGGGCGCTGCGAGATGGTACCATAGTACCGAAGGGGGAGTAGGCCACAATGAGGACATTGTTAGCTTGGCAGTAGTCTACTAACTCCTTCTGGCCCAGGTTCAGATTTATCTGTGGAGAAATATTAAAAAAAAACCTTAGTCATCACATTACCTTCAGTTAGGATACATAGATAAGCTGGCATTGATAGGAGATGAGGGGTCTGATCATAGAAGTTCTTTCTTCTTTGAAATTTTTTAAAGATTTTTAAAATAGCTTTCTGGTCTAATTGTAATAAAGGATTTTTACTTTAACATTAGCCAGAGTTGGCAAGTGACTTGGGGATTGCGATCAAATCACCGCCAAAGGAAACTGCTGCTTGTTTGACAGTGTCTGATCGCAGTTTTAAGTTCCATCTTAATTCTGAATCACCGAGTGACTATTTACTAAAGTTATTCAATTTTATTGGAAATCTTTTTGAAAAATCAGGAGTATAATTAAGCAATCTTACTTGAAATAGTTATGGTTACTCGTTAAACGAAGCAGTGCATGTAAAAAGGTGGTATTTAATACTTTAACTGTTAATTCCGTTTTTTTAATCAAAATATTCGAAATTACCACAAAAATACTGAATTGCACACTAAATTTGCTCAACAAATAAATCAGTTATACTATACTGTTAGACCTTTAAAGCTTAACTGTTTTACTGAATGACTATCTTTTAACTAAAAGTAAATCTAATAACTCTTCGAGTGCAACAAAATGTTAACTTAGCGTAACCTATCCCATAATTTTAAGGTCGTGAAAAAAAAAACAAAACCTAACCTAACCTAATTATTATTATAATATTGAACAATTAGCGTGCAAATCAGTATTTTTGTTTTACTGTTAATTTTTTTGATATGCAGTAGGTTAGTAGTGGAGAAATTTGGTTTGCTTAAATTTTTAAATAGAGGTGCAGTAAAAAATTCCCCTATGTAAAATATGTCCAATTAATCGCAATTAACGTTATGAAGTTTCCTACCAACGAAACACATATAACACAAAACTTAAACTAAGTATTTGAGTTAAAACCCACAGGACTTTTGTACTACACGAGCGCCATCTACTTTGCGCAAAAATAAAATGGAACTACATCAACTCACCTCAACCTGGTTGGTGGAAGGTGGAACCTTGCAGTTAGCCAGGAGTCTCTTCATCTGTTCCACATTGAAGTTGGACACTCCAATGGACTTGGCGAGACCTTTGCTCAACACGGACTCGAACCCACGCCAGGTTTCTAGGTAGTCGATCTTTTCGTCTACTCCGTCTTGCTGGAATGTTTGGAAAGAAGATTATTAATACAGCGGCGCTTTAAACTGTCAAACACCGCGAGGACAATGGTGACCGCAACCTATTGTTCTTTATAATGATGGTACTCAAAGGGTTAAATAGTCCCATGGACTTCATAGAAATGGGATGAATGGTTCTAGATTTGTAGTAACTGAAATAGAATTTTGAAACCATGGCATATTAAGTGTGGGAGAGCCATGTTTCGGCACGAATGGGCCGACTCGACCGGAGTGATACCACGGCCGAGCAGAAAACCATAGTGAAATAACCACAGCGTTGTGTTTCGTCGCGTGAGTGAGGTTACGGGAGGCCCAATTACGCCCCCCCCCCCCTCCCTACTTCCCCAATCTTCCCTATCCATGAAACCACAACAATCCTCAAAATCCTAATCCCCAAAAGGCCGGTAACGCTCTTGTAACGCGTCTGGTGTTTCAGTTTCAGATGATGGGCGACGCCGATTGCTTACCATCAGTTGATCCTTCACCGGCTTATCCCATAAAAAAAAGAAAACCGAAAAATGTCTGAAATAATTTTCCCAACGACAGAAACAAACCCGAAACCTCACCTCTACCTACTAACAATTTATCTACTCCAAAAACAAAAATCGGACATAGGAACTGAATTAACGATCGTATGTTCAGCAGTCACTATAGGTACCACTTAACTACGACTGCAAAAATCTTTGAAGTTCTAAGAGTCCTATCTACACATAACATCACGCCTTTTATTCCCGAAGGGGTAGGCAGAGGTGCACATTACGGCACTTAATGCCACTGTACAATGTAACACCCACTTTCACTATTTATGTTATGAGTCCCATGTAATAGGGGATGAGCCTATTGCCATATACCGGGCACAATTCCAGACACCGTGTTACTACTGAGAATTTTTAAAAAGCCAGTAATACTTTTGCCCGACCCGGGAATCGAACCCGAGACCCCTTGCCCGGCAATCGCACTTGCGACCACTCGGCCAACGAGGCAGTCCTAACTATGTGTAGTCAAATCTAGGTGTTACTTACAGAGATAGACATAGGCCAGTGCATAAGCACTAGGTCGACGTAGTCCAGGTTGAGTCGACGCAGCGAGGCTCGCACCGATACTTCAACATCAGCCTCGCGGTGGAAGTGGTGCCACACCTGGAAACACAAGGTATAGGTTGGAGAAGGTGGAATTCCACTAAAAAGTTTGTATGCTTATATGTTTGTTTGTCTGTTGATCAATCACGGGAAAACGGCTTAAGGGAGATGAAAATTGGAACAAGGATAGATTATGGACTGGTATAGGGTATACATATAATAAATCTGTAGAAAAGTAATTTTTGTACATTGAAGAAATTGACAAAAAAATAGCCAGCGTGTTAAAAGATAACCAACAGAACACATTTCCATCATTTTTGAAATTTTTGTCTTATTGTCTGTTTGTTTGTGCGCGCATCACGACAAATCTACGAGTTCAATGCAAACATTGCTTATATACAAAAATTCTGTGCAACTTGAGGTATAACTTAGTTTTTGTCTCATCGAAATCGGTTCACTCTATCAGAAGATATGATTAATTTAGTAAGTTAAGAAACGCGGTAGAAGCTAGTAAACAATATAAAAACTTACCTTAGTAGTAATGAACAAATCTTCCCTCTTCACAACGCCATCTTTGATTTTCTTGTCTATGATCTTGCCGACTTCCGGCTCCACTCTATAGAGGTGGGCGGTGTCTATGTGCCTGTATCCGATGTCGATGGCGTAGGATAGAGCATCCATCATTTTTGGCATACCTTCAGCACTGAATTCAAACTGAAATTGTCAGATATTTTTTATTAGATTGATAGAAATATAAATGTCACCACTGACGAACGGTGAAGGAAAACACCGTGAGGAAACCTGGACTTATAATTCCTAATTATAAGTTTGTTATCGCCAACCCGCATTGAGCAAGCGTAGTGATTAATGCTCAAACTTTCTCCGTGTGGGAAGAGGCTTCAGCAGTGGGCATTTATAGGCTGTTGAGACGCGGAATAAATCTAGAGAGTGGACTAGGCAAGGTTCTCATAGGCGTCCTCAATGGTTTTGGTGCTGACGTCACTCTCTGGGCAATTGGGCACACGACTCCCGGTGCCCCTCTTTAACCTGGGGCTCTAGACACTTGACAATTTTGCCCTACGAATACTAAGGCTCTGGGTATACAACTAAATAAACTAACACAAAAGCAACCATTTAAGAATCTTACCATTATCTGCCAATTTCTATAACATAATTATCTCAATCCAAAATGTGTGGATTAAGATCGATTTTTGACAGAAACTCCGTATAACTGCTGCCAAAAATCGATCTATATCGACAGATTTTGGATTAAGATAGTTTATTGAAATTGGCAGTAAAACAGTCAGATTTTAATCTAGACTAGGGGGCTCTCTTGAATCCTCCAATCGACATTGGTATGGTGAAATTTCGTACTCTTGTTACAACACTAGCGCCCATTGCATACGTATTGCGCGGATATTGAATGAACTAAATGATATTGGCTTTGGCTTTATATTCCGTACTCTGAATGCTATTGTAACAGCTACGATAGGGGTTGTATAGTTTTGACATTGAATAATTATTGAGATTTTATTGGATTGACATTGTGATTGATTTCAAGGGTAAGCACAGGGTTGTCCAAACTATATAACTATACCCTCGCGGGCTTATAACATTTCTTACAAAAACTGGAGGGCTAGAAAAATATTTTCACTTGTAAATGACGTTTAACTTTGTATTCTTTACTCACAGACAAAACTTGTATACAAACCATACACTGAATTTTATTATTGTTGTTGCACATAATGATGATGATGACCATATACCTCAACCAACAAGCCCATGTTCTTATAACAAATGTTTTTTTTCGCAAATGGCGAATTTATCATCGAAACCAAATACACTATCAGAATCCTTAAAAAATATCGAGTAAATTCGCGTTATTATAACCCGCTGGGGTAGTTAATCCAGAATGAATATTCGTTTAATATAATTTTTATTGGTCTTAAAGTTTGGGTCTAGCTTCACTGACAGACAGACGGACGGACGGACAACTAATTGAAATAAATGTTTTGACTTTGTCATTGACTTTGAATTATAGGTCATAATTACCCTGTAGTAGGGTCAAAGAAACCCGATTTGAAAAAAATAAAATTCTATCCCAGCCTCCACACACTGAAATTAAGAACTTCGAAATTATAATATGAACATTGAACAATGAACATATAAAGACATCCTCCACCGACATGAACACATACATAAAAAACCACCCAAATTGTCTGTTAATTTATACTAACCGAGAAAGGTTTGCTTGGACCAGCATCCTCCTATAGAAACAAAATATTAAATACATGCTTTAGAATTGGGATGATGACAGGGTATAAAAATTAAAAATCTAATCAGTCCGTCAGTTAGGTAATGAAAAAATATTAGACACGTATTTTTTTATTGTGTCGTATAAAAAAACAATACTTAGATAAAACGAATCAGAGTTTAGGAGTGGGAGCTAAAACGTAATTTCTACGTATAAAATGTATCTACATAGAAGTGACGTCACGCGACATTTCAAATCAATTTATCGTCGAAAGTAATTGTTTCAGTAAGAAAACCAAACATACGTGTCTAATGATTTAAAATAATCTACCAGACGGACATTAAAATTAAAATTAGGCATCTACCCTATTGTTAGATTTAGGTAGGTATGTCCAAATACTCAAACGACGCTCAATTTTGAGTATAGTATAGTTCTGTATCTATGAATTCTTTGTAAAATGATAGACATCACGATATTTAAGTACACACGGCCACACATTAATCTATACAAAACCAGTTTACCCTGGTGTCGCGTCGCATCATCTTTCCGCACATTTAACGTTCAGTTTATACTGGTTATGTAAAGCTCGATGTGTAGCAGTGTGTACAATTCAAAATTGAGTATTCTTACAGTATTCGGGCGATAGATACATATTAGTTTAACAATACGTCTCGAAGTAGGAGGAACGGGGTGGTGGGGCTCCGGCTTGACGTGCAGGAGAAGGAACGGGGTGGTTTTTAGTCAGTAAGAGTCTGACACTCCCTCTCGCCTCACCCAGGCGGGAGAAGACATTCGATGATTACCCCCCCCTCAAAGAAATAGGTACCCAACCACACCAGCATACAACAATATAAAATCACGCCTTTTTATCCCCGAAGGGGTAGGCAGAGGTGCACATTACGGCACTTAATACCACTGTACAATGTAAAACCCACTTTTCACTATTTATCGTACAAGTCCCATGTAATAGGGAGTGAGACTATTGCCATATACCGGGCACAGTTCCAGACTCCGTGCTACTACTGAGATTTATTGAAAAAACCCAGTAATACTTTGCCCGAACCGGGAATCGAACCCGAGACCCCTTGCCCGGCAGTCGCACTTGCGACCACTCGGCCAACGAGGCAGACAATAATGCACCTAATATGTACATATATGACGTCATATTACCTTTTCGTCCATGCCCAGCCAGGTGCCATATCCCAGCGCTGGAATTTTGGTTCCATCGTTGAAGGTAAAAGACGGAATGTTTACCTGAAACAAAATATTACATGTTTAATAATTGGAAATTATATTTATAACATCACTAGCTTTTACCCACCGTCCACCGTGTGGCACCGACTTCTTACCTATCAGTGGGTGGGTAACCTATCAGTACTAATAATAGTTATTTTTTGTTTTTTTAGTTTTGACTTTTTGTTTGTGTTACTACAAGTTATTTGTAACTAGACTAAAAACAGACCCGAGCGTACGGCGCGTCAGTTCCGCGCGCGTCTCAAAGAGCCATCAAACCACCACGGATGGGGGCCTATAGGGCTGATGCCGATGTTTAAAAAAAAATATCTAAAGTGCCCCCTATTTAGCAGTTTTGCCGTGGGACATCTATTTCACGGTGTTTAAAGTGCCATTTCGTGAGGAGAAAATAAATATAATAAATGTATAAGGTACTGGTCACCTAATAAGGCCACCCTGTTTTAAACCTTTGTATAATTGATATAAATGCTGTTTGACTTTGAATTAGAAGTGTAGGCGAAGGTTTGATCAATGTATCATCACAAAGTCAAGGTTTGATAGCAAATAATTGTCCTGTCAGTGATGATAGCTCGATTAATTATTATGTTAATTTATTTCCTTTATTTATTTCCATACTTGATTTATATATTTTTAAATATTTGATTATATATAAAAAAAAAACATTTAGAAATATAAAAAGCAGTAGCCCACCAGTAACGGGAGAAATCCAAGCTACCGGTGGTCAGGGGCTCCAGAGAAAGGAATTTCCGGACTATAAGCACCGTGTCCAGTAGTACTGCTTTCTGCATCAGGCCCTTGACCCAACCATCTAACGCTAGCCTACTCAGATGTTGGTCGAGGCTTTTAGCAGTGATTAATTTATTTTAATTTATTATGATTAATTATTAAAGAAAGAAGGATAATAGTATCATCACTTAATAGTACGAACGCGAATACTGCAGTAGTAGTTTAGCCCACGACGGAACTACGGTCAAACCGCAGCGGTTTTCAACCGCATCACTTAGTTGGACTAGAAGTGACCGCATCTGCGGTTTGTTCCCGCGACTGATTTTGTGAAAAGTGTGAACATACATAACTTTACGCCTGTCTCACAATCGGTAGGCAGAGATTATGGAACGCCAATTAAATTAAAAGTGTGTTGTAATAAAATTGTCGCAAAAACAAACTGCCATATTTGTTATTAATAAAGAACTTCGTGGCAGGACTGAAGATTGAAAATATTGTGGAGTATATTCTAGTTACTGTTACACATCCCATCTAATGACCTCAAAGATGTCGGCGACACAGTGGTCACGTGCCGCCGTGCAGTGCACTGAGAGGCTCTAGAAGAGACACATAGGTCTCCATAGGGAGGTGCCGTAACAGGCGTTGCACTGTGGGGGCTCCGGGGTTGGTCTACTATGAGGAGTATGAGGACCCGGTGCCTCCTTCAAGTGCGGATGGTGGCCACCGGGGAGGTTTTAGTGAGGTAAAAATCCCACACTCCCTAGTCTTTTTCCCCAAAAAGCTAGGCGCCTTTGGAAGGATTCCGCCCGTCAACAAAAAAAAGGTATTGTTACACATACTAATTCGAATCGAAGCAAAGGATGCTTCAATTGAGCGCTTGTCACTTAGTAGCATGTTGCTCAAAATTAGCATGCTCAATACGGATACCATACCTATTATTGGAAGCAAGTATAACAGCTCACACATAGTACCCACTTAGTTTTTAGTCAAATTTCCGTGGTGCCTGGCGACTGGGCTTCACTCAGTTGTACAGTCTCTTCTTTGTGCCTTTAGCCTTAATTCATTCCGTCTCCTGCAGTAATTCAACGAGGGAAGTGGAAACTATCGTTTTTTTTCTTCTCCTCTTATAATATCTTTTGATTCACTTCGTTGCGGGAACCAAGACAGTTACTCATGCCCTGGGATGAGACTTTAGTGTTCCGGTGTTTTCATAGCTGTATCTAGATGTAGATTCTGAAGATCCTGGTACAGCGGTTTTGGGAGGGTGAGGCGCATTTGTCCCAGTAGGTAAGAAGTAAGGTAAGGCAATTTTTTAAAGAAATTATTTTCATTTATGCTCTTTTAATTAACTAATCCTTTGATGAATAGGTAAATAGCCTGAGTGACATCATATGCAGTTGTATAAAATAATAAAAGTTACAATAGATGAGCTCTCAGCTAAATTAAACTATATTATAGGCATTCTAGTTTTGTTTGCATAACTATACAACTGATTATTATGATTTGAAGTAGTCATATCATAGAAATCCAATGTAAATACATCAGTTATACCGTTATTCATGTTTTATGGTATAAGCCGGTAAACGAGCAGACGGATCACCTGATGGTAAGCAATCGGCGTTGCCTATAGATACCCGCAACACCAGAGGATACTCAAGTGCGTTGCTGACCTTTTAAGAATTGGGAATAGGGGTGATTGGGTCTCCGGTAACCTCACTCACAAGACGGAACACAACGCAAGTTTTGTTTCATTATGGTTTTCTGCTCGGCCGTGGTTTCACTCCGGTCACGCCGACGCATTCGTGCTGGAGCATGGCTCTCTCACGTGTAGGATAATCACACTAATATTTTAATGTGACGAAGTGGAGTTTCTTGTTTGGATGTTTGTCCGCCAATCACGCTGAAACTACTGAACGGATTCTGATGAAATTTGGTATAAAGGCAAGGTATGGGCTGACTTAGGTGATAGGACTTTTATCCTGATGAAATGCTTCTATAGGATAAAACAGCAATCATATTGTACACGGACAAATTCGCGGACAATAGCCAATATAACATAATTAAAAACTTAAAAGAACCCCCTATTACATGGGACTCATAACATAAATAGTGAAAAGTGAATATACTGAGAAAAGCTACTAGTTTCGAACCACAGAGGGGTTCTTCCTCATGAGCAGCTTGGGAGCAGCGTGCGCCGCGCACGCAGTATATTCACGTGAGTAACCCGCGATTTTATTTATTTAATAATTTATGTACACACAAACAGCACAGAGGATAACACATAAATGAGTACAATGGTGCTACGTATTCCTGTTGGAATTTCTTCCAGTAGTTTTAGTTAATTTAGTATGTCTCACGATAGTTATTATAAAAACATGGCGTGATGTTATGTTTATATTAACTTAGAAGTTGACGTTGACTGCATTATTTATGGTTTTTACACGTCAATTGACGCTGGCAATGATTTGCAAATACTTGTACATTAATAATCTTGATGTATTGCCACTTTATCATAATATCCTGTACAAATATTACGTGTTTGTAGTAATCTCACAGTCGGAGCTAGAACGGATTTTTATCTGAGTATATTCCGATAATAATTATCTTTATACGTGATATTTCTAAACAGGTAATGTTTTATAACAAAGTCAAAGTCAAAGCATTTTATTTAATCCTTAATTAGGTTTAATTACTTTTGTAACGTAAAATTGAATTGACCATCTGTCTGTCTGTCAGAGAACGACATTACTCCATGTCCTTTAATAGATATCATTAAAATAGGGTAGTTTTCTAAATTTTATTTTAATGTCCGTCTCGTACATTAATTTAAAACTTTAGACACGTATTTTTTCATTTCTCACAAAATTTAAATACTTTCGACGATATATTAATTTGAAATATCGTGTGACGTCACAGCGTGCAACATTTTGTAGCACGTTATGACGTAATAACCTCCCGCTCCTAAACTTAACTCCGTATTATCTCAGTATTGTTTTGTAAAACGACAAAATAAAAAAAATACGTGTCTTATATTTTTTCATTATCTAACTGACGGACTAATTAGATTTTTAATGTTCATACCTTGGAAACTACCCAATTTTGTTGGAAACTAAACAAGTTGTCAACTAGGTACCGTATTAACGGATGATTGAGAAATCGGCTCATACTGCGATACTCATAGATATACCTACTACTTTTCCCGGTCCGATAATCGAACTAGTGCCTTTAGCCAAACGCCACTTAAGCGCTTGTCTACAGAGAGAGAGTAGAAAACTAAATGTATGGGGATGACACTGACAGCTGTTAAAATTTACGTCAATTTTATATAATTTGGTTTTTAGTTCTACAAGTAGACAAGCGCTAAATGACATTTGGCTACAGCTGCTAGAAATACATTTGGCTACAGCTGATTTATTGTATAGCATAAAACATGGGCCACTACTTACATAGGTAACTAGATTTTTGTTCATTTCCTCATGCGATATTTGTTGATAAAACTCTGATTAGATTAGTATATATATCACAATAGTCGATGCTGACATTATGTTTCTTATGTTTAATGCCCATTAAATAATAGTTATGATATAATATTACGATTGTTTTGTTTTTAGGGACAGGCAGACCGAATTATCTAATTACCCATGTTCTGACAGTTTGAGTATCTGTGCCAACCACCCAAATGTTCTGCGGAGAGTGAGCAAGGGTAGCTCGCCACCCGACCAGAACCAGACCCGTGCGTACGGCGCGTCGCGTTCCGCGCGTACCTCAAAGAGCCATCAGACCACCATAGATCAGTTTCACACTATCACCCAGTAGGGCTGTTGCCCGATACGGAGCCGCGGAAGGCCTAACGGGTTGCCAGGGCTCCGGCTCGAAGAGTAAACGATAGTTTCCACACGCACCAAAGTGCTGCCTTGTAGACTATCTATTTGCTGAATTGAATTCACATGATTCACTTGGATTTCCTCCCGTCTAAAATTCATATTTTGGGACGAATCGACCGGGTCGACCGGTGAAGTGTGACGAGATTACCGGAGGCTGTGCCAGAGGCTCAAACCTCGATCTTTTTTAACGATCGAAATATCTTGAAGCTGCTTAGCTCACAAATCGAAATCGAGTCGACGTAATTTTATTTTATGATGAATTTAAGATTCTAGAAGCAAAGATTAGTACATGACTCTTTTTAAACCTTGATATTTCTACATGTACAAGTTTACAAAGTCATGGTGGCCCGGAGGCTTAAGATGCCCGCTTCTCATGCATGAGGGTGAGAG